ACACACACACACACACAATAATTGTGTTTTTAAAAACCTAGACAAGAGTACAGATCAGTAGCTAACACACACTTTTCTTACATGGATCATAATTTATTTGAAAATGATTTCTATTATATTGTGTGTTTGAGTAGAGTTGCAGCATGTTCCCAGGGAGCTGTTTGCCGTTGACCCCGCCCACTCCAGCTCTTCGGAAGTGTCCTATCGCTGCAGAAAGTGCAGGTGAAAGGTGGAGACAATGATGCTGAATTCACATGGGAGTAGTCAAAGACCTTTTCTTCCTGAATTTTGATGCCAACAAGGAAGAATAATAGTGCATTTATGTTATAATACAAAGTCCTCTAATCACAGTGGTTAAAGAAATAATTCAACATTTTAGGAAATGCACATCCTGACCCCGGTTCTGTGCTCATCCTCCACCTTCTCCTCTGCAGACGGACTCTGTTCCGTGAATCCAGTATCCTCAGTCACCCAGTAGGAGAAGGAGCGCCAGCCTTTGGTCACAAGAAGTCAAGTAACCTCACTGGTAAGAACACAACTGTACTGTTAGCCCAGAGGAGTCTCGCCTGCTCAAGGGGTTGTGGGTTTGTTGAATGAGGGCCGTGGAGAGGCAGAAGTACTGCATGAGGAGTTTGAAAAAAAGTGATTTTGTTTTGTACTATAATGTAATTGTATTATTGTACTCACTTATCAACACAGTTGTTGTTTGCAGCAGTGACACACAACTCATTCAGGCACTCGCACTCCTCCTGAATCATAAAAAAGACCAACGTAAGATGTGGAAAGCTCAGAAAGAGAGTACTGCACTGATTTAGCATCACACTCGTATAACAGAGTTTATCAAGAGTTATGTCAAAACCTGACAGCTACATAACTCACAGTGCAACTCTCTGTATCGACTCGACCGTACAGGTTCAGTTGTGTTATGCTAGTAGCAGCTAATGCAGCCTGGAGCTTCTGGATGAAAGCAGAGATGAGGCGGCTGCAGAGGTATGGTAATATCACATCTCTCTAACTCCACACCAACAGATTTTTGTTATTTTTATTTTTTGTAGTCTTCAGCCCCAGCTGACACTGAGTCACTAAAAAAATCAATGGAGTTTAGGATGATTTTGTCACACACAAATTTTCAGTTTTTGCAGATTTAGACGACCTGTCCTGACAGGCATGAGTGTGAGGGTTTTAGTCCCCTATTAAAGAAATTTGTCTGACACAGGCAAATCATCTTGTAATCTGCACCAGACCCACCTGCTTCACTTACACTGTTAAGACTTACTGGGACACATTAATAGAACACAGTCATTGTTAATCTTATTTGTAACACATGCTTTGCCTACAATGGCAAGTCAAAATGTTTGCAGTGAAAATGTCCCATTGCAATAACCACACATACTGAATGTGAAGTTTTTTCTCTAGTTAATGATATGAAACGTGTTGTTGTCTAGGAGATGTCCAGTGTACGTCTTACTTCATTGAACCAGTGCAGTGGATGGAACAAGCTCTACTTGGAGTGATGGATGGACAGGTAATGCATATACACACACACACACAGCACACACCACACCACCAGTCAGGAAATGCAATTGTGTCTATTAGACATGACAGAACTCTAGGGTGTCCGACTAAACGTCGCCCTTCCCCCTACGCTCAGTGTTAGGCGTCAGCGCCTTCTAGCAGTATTCAATCAATGAAAGTCTCGACAGCTCTGTTCTCCTAATACTTGCACCATACAGTTTGCATTGTAAACGCCCATGTTCATTCTATGTCAGTCCGTGGCGCTCACAGATAAAATCGAGCATAATCGTTAATTCCAACAAACAGTAGATATGTTCCAGTGTTGTTACCCTAACAGTTCTTGGCTAGAAAACGCGCCTGCATACTATCCCCGGGTATGGGTGATATCAGTATCGGAAATGAAGTTGAGCCAATATTGAATCGTCGATACTAGTCGCAGAAAATCAATATCGACGCATCCCTACATAAAT